GTCATCGTTTGTAATTTTTGATTCAGTATTTTAGGCATTAAAGATCACATAGCCTATGTTTTGGGACATCTGAGTCAGTATTTTGAGTCAGTACATTTCATTCAGCTTGGTTGAACATCATAATTACATTTAGAACGTTTGCTTCAGTGTTTTTGGGGCATGACAGAATATTCCATCCAAGCACTGATTCAGTATTTTTAAGCATCGTTAGAATTGTTCAGTTCAGAGATTCTGAACATCAGAATGTTACATTTTATTCAGTATTTTATCATATTTGCGTTTGTAACATTCAAATTGGACATTTGATTCAGCATCTTAGATAGATGAGCATCAGAATAATGTTTGGAATGTTTGATTCAGTAATTTGTTGAATTATTAATTCCATTTGGAATGTTAAATTGGAACATCCAATTTATTTTGATTTGAACATTATAACAGAGTTTGAAATGTTCGATTAAAAAAATTCAGCTTTGCTGAACATAATCACATTTACAATGTTCAGTTCAGTATTTTGGAGCCTGATAGAACATTTGGGAGTCGGGACATAATCGCATCTGAAATGTTTGATTCGAAAATTCAATTCAGCTTAGCAGACCCTCAGAATTAAATTTTGAATGTTCAGTTCAGTACATTCTTACATCATAATTCCATTTGGAACATCCGATTCACTCGTTTTGAACAACATGCTATACTTTCAGAAAATTCGATTCTGTATTTTAAAGCATGATAGAGCATTCAAAAGGAACATGCGATTCAGTACTTTAGGCCACTGTTGAACACGAACACTCAGTTTTAATTTTATGATCGTTTGGAATATTCTATTTAGTATTTTGAGCATCATAATCTCGTTCGTGACATTTGATTCAAACTTTGGATTCAGCAGCTTAGCAGAGCATCAGAATCAAGTTTGAAACATATGATTCAACATTTTGTTGCACATATTCCATTTGTAATGTTGAATTGGTACATCCAATTAAGATTTAATTGAACACCATAACAGCATTTTTTTTTTT